ATTCTGGTCCTCCTCAGCTGTCCAACCCCTACTTCCTGGAGCAATACAGGTTAATGTATAGCCTGAAGCCCTGCTGGGAAGGGGTTGGGTCTCAGAGCAACCAATGGTGTAGAACCAGGAAATCTCTCTCCTTCCTGCTTCTTCAAAATCGAAACAAACTTGGAGACTGAAGCTGCAACGGTTGCTCTTCATGGCAGCCAGGACGCCTGTGGAAATGCTCCAGGATGAATCCTGCTGCTCCATCTGCCTGGAAATATTCCAGGACCCCGTGTCCATCCACTGTGGACACAGCTTTTGTCGGTCGTGCATCACTCGGACCTGGGAAGGACGTACATCCAACTTCTCCTGCCCGCAGTGCAGAGATACCGTGGCACAGAAGACCCTGCGCCCGAACTGGGAGTTAGCCAACATGATTGAAGCAGCCAAGAGATTGAACCTGCAAACAGGCAGAGACATGGAAGGAGGAGGGAACTTCTGTGAGGAGCACCAGGAACCCCTGAAGCTCTTCTGCCAAGATGACAAAAAGCTTCTGTGCATCGTGTGTGACAAGTCCAAGGTGCACCGTGACCATTCTGTGGTTCCCATGGACGAGGCTGTCCAGGAGTGCAAGGTGAGGGGGTTATGGGTATGTTGAGGCACAAAGGACTGGAAGCTCCTGATGTTGGTGCTCTTGATGGGTAGAGATCTCTGTAGAGCCTTTGGCTTGTGCAATAAACCCCCTGTGGACTCACCCATCCTTGTCTCTTGATCCCGACCCTTGAGGTGGCATAGCCTGCCCTGAGGAAGAGGTGGACGTAGGAGCACCACGCTCTTGGGGACCAAGGGGTCCTCTCCCCCAGGGTTTAGCCACGAGCAGGGCCTTAGGGGAAGGTAGGAAACAGAGGCGTAAGATTTCTCCCCACCACAATCCCTCTAAGACTGCATCAATGGCTCTGTCCTCTGGGGTGGGGGTCCCTTCTCAAGGTCAGCTCTGCTGAAGATCAGTAAGAAAGGACAGAATGAGATCCTAAGCCCTTCTCCCACCCCACAGCTCCCTGAAAACTCCTTGACCTTTGTGAAAATACAAAAAGGCAAAAAAGGAAAAAACAGGGGGAGATAAATGGCCTTGTAACAGTCACGGGGGTCCCAATACTCTGCCAACACTTATTCCAAGAGCCACCAGGAGTTCCCCGGTGCTTCTGCTGAGGCTGCCAGACCACCATGCCATTCCACAGGGGACTTCTTTCTTTCTCTCCTCTCAGAAACAAATTGAGACCCAACTGCACCTTCTGAAATCAGAGCAAGAGGCGCTTCAATCTTCCGTGAAGGACACACAAGACAGACTCAAGGACCACACTGTAGGTGCCCATCAGTTTTCCTGGGCAGAGGGTGGGGGAAGAAAGGAGGAACATCTCCTCCTCCTCCTCTCCCACAGGGGTGGGTGATGCTAAGGCATGGCCCACCCTTGACCCTTGATGCTCTTCTCCTGCTCTCTGTTGCATTTTCCCTGCTTTGGGCTTGCCCTTGGCAGGAGAGGACAGAAGCTGCAAAGCAGGAGATTGTGAGGACATATAGGAAGATGCACGAGTTCCTGGAGAAGCAGGAGTCCTCTCTTCTGGCCCAGCTGGAGCAGCTGGACACAGAGATAAGGAAAGCCCATGAAGAAATCCTCCAGAGGCTTTTGGAGGAGACAACAAGCCTGGGCACGCTGATTGAGGAGGTGGAGAGGACGTACCAGCAGCCAGACTGGGAGCTCCTGAAGGTGAGAGCCCAGGCTTTCCAAACTGGCTGGGAAGGCCCACCTTGAGCTTGGTCTCCAGCCCCCGCTCCAAGAGGGACTTCCTTAGAGTGGGACCCCGGTACTCCAAGGGGAGGTGTTCCATCTCACTGAGTCTCTTCTTCTCTCTCTTCCAGGACATTGGAACCACCTTGAGCAGGTCTGTGGTCCTTCTCCTGTCACCATGTCACCACCACAGAGTAGCTCTGTGGCAGGACACGGGGAGAAAGCACTTGGGGACGGGTTGGCTCTTCTGCAGTACAGCCCTTGGAGTTGACCGAGGCCACCGGAGGGGTTGGAAGGAGGGCTCTGCCTCTCTCTCCTGAATGAATGATGAATTTGGACCCGGGCTGGCAGGAGGCAGGAGCAGCGAGTGCTGAGAAAACACGGAGCAGCAAAGTCCAACCAGGTGTAAATCCATCCCCTCTTCCCTTCCAGGGGCCAGAGGGAAACGCTCTCCCACTCACTCCAGATTTCCCCGGAGCTGGAAAGGAAATTCTGTGATTTCAGCTTAAAATCCGCAGCCATCAGGCATCTGGTTTCACCGAGAAGAACCCAAATATCAAGGAAATTCTGGAGAAATTCCAAGGTACTGAGGGCAGGTCCAGAAAGGCCTATGTCATCATGCTTCTTGGTGGGGAGGGCTGGAGTGAAGCCAGGGGAAAGAAAGGCATCCTGGGTGCTGAATGAGGGGTTATTTCTTTCAAGATCCCACAAGGAGACAGAGAACGAGCAGCGAGCGTTGGTCTGATGTTCCCTGCCTGTCCTCCTCCTCTTCTCCTCTGCCTCCTCAAGTTTCTCGACCTTCCCCCAAGCCTGTTCCTGACTCTCGGGACTTTTGCAGAAACCCACAATCAGACCAACTGATCTTTGTGTTTCTCACTTTTCTGTCTTCCCTCTAGTTTTCCTGGACTTTGAGACTCCCTTGAAAAGTAAGTGAACTGTACGTGTGCCAAACCAAGCCATCATATGAAATCAAAAATATGGTAAAAGAAGCTTTTCTGCCCTCAAAGATGGACCTAAAGTGTTCTGCTGCCTCCTTTCCCCATTCTCCCACCCTGGTCCCACTGGCAGATGATGCCTGGAGGGGTCCCAACCGGGTCAGAGGTGTTGGGGGGGGGGAAGAGAAGAAGCCCTGTTTCCCCTCAAATCTGCTGCAATGAGCCTGACTCTCTCTCCACCTCCAGCACAGATGACGCTGGATCCGGAGACGGCCCACGCCAGGCTTTATCTCTCGGAAGACCGCAAGCTTGTTTGGTGGGAAGACCGTGAGCAGGACCTGCCCTGCAACCCGAGGAGGTTCAAAGTCTATCCCTGTGTTCTGGGCTCGGGGGGCTTCATATCGGGGTGG